AGAAATAATGGGGATAGACAGGAAATTTAGCTGGAACCTCATAAAAACAGATGCTGAGGGTTGCTGAAAATCCATGGAGCCTAATATAAAGGTGTGATATTGTTAAGTTACGTCTTTCTCTGTAGGTTCTAGCCAGAGAAAGGTATGTGGCAAAGAGTAGCATCACAGCAATACAAATGTTTTATTTCCCTTCCTCCATCTGGTGCCTTTTAAACAACTTGGGACATTTCTCAAATGGGCTCTCCATTGTCTTACGAGTCATGTGCGTTTAAAATCTCCGGTTGGGATCCCAAATACAATTCTGCTCCATTCCAGATTCAGCACCATCTTTCCAAAGTATTAAAACAAGGATCTTTGATAGGTGATGTTTGTTCAGTGGTTTTGATAGCAATAATTCATAAAGATTTTGTGTTCTGGAGGATTTTAATTGCTTCTTTCAGCTTCCTCTGACTTTTCTTCTTTGGGAGATTCTTAACAGAAACCGAAGTACATCTAGTTTTACCTGACCATGAATTCTGAAAATAAAGATCTGCCCTTCTGCAGTGGCTACTTATTCCTGCCTGGGCTCCACAGTGAGGAAGAATGTGCTGTAACCATATAGCAGGTCCATTATTCATGTTCCCTCTGGCTGTCAGGAAAACATTCAGTTGTAATCTCACTAATAGCTGTTTTTCCTTAAATATTGTAATTTTCTGAGCCCCTAATAAGTCATCAATAATTTTGTCCATTTTTCCCAGTTTGTGTTTATATTTGTAGCTGTTCATAATTGAGGGCTATTATGACAACGGGATTTTTGAACAATTGTGGCGCATGAAATCCTAGCCTTCTACTCGAACCAGCTGCCAGCACAATGCCAGCAGCATCACGTGGGTGGGACTGTTCTGAAACATGCACAGTTGTCCTACATTTTGAAGTTTAATGGTCTGCCTCTAATCTGTTTCAGCAACATTCCTTTAAAAATACATAGCAGTATGAGTGCTCCCCAATTTGAATATTAAATGAGAGTAAAATACAATTAATTTAAGTTTGAAACAGAGATATTATATGATGTTGGCACAATGAGTCAACATAAAGGGAAAGAACAGGTGGCAATATAGCATAATAACACTTTTGGATATTTTGCTGCAATTCTCTTGATGCCCAAATATGCATTCTAGGCAGGCATGTTCGCTTTACCGGCAATTCTTGCAAACTGTTAGAGAGGTGCTGCCGTGGAGCGGTGGAGCGCTGGCCCGTTGCACGCAATCTGCTCCCTTTTGTGAGCTCCTGGTGTGATTTCATTCATTTGACCCTCTCCTACTCGTCCCCGGGATAGCCTGAGCCCTGCGTCCCGTGTGTGTCATAAGCCACACTTTTTAGCATACTCTGCAGTCTCAACGTCTTGATTAATCAAAATCATCTTTCATGAAGAAAGGAAAAGCTATGTAGGATACCGCTGTTAAGTCAAATTGTGTAAGGGATAGGGTCAGATCATTCTAGAATCATGCAAGCCACTTCCAATACCCTTGGTTTGATAATGGTGCTCCCATTTGAAAATACTGACTTTTTCAACCAGAGAAAAAGATAATTGTTTCTATTAAGGTAGTTTCCTAAATAATCTTGGCATAGCTTTTTTTTTAATGACTGGGTTTTGAGTATGAAATTGCTTTATAATATCCAATGAGTTACACTGGTCAACTACTACATAATTTATTACATAAATGATTTGATTATTTATAAAATGAATTCTCAAAAACCACAACTATTTCCATTAAGAGAGAACCCAAAAGTAGAAAAGTTACTTATTAAATTAGAGATAAAATGCAAAACAGAAAGAAATTTTATCATACACATACAATTAAAAATCCTTAAATAATGCATAATTATGATCATATCTACATGAGAAAGAATCAGTCCCCATTTTGAGTCAGAATAGGAGAATAGGAGTTATTTCCTTTTTCAACAAGACAGTTGAGAATAGCAAATCTCATTGTTCACATCTGTAAATACCATATGTGGTCAGTCAAAAACAATGCAGAATATTATCTTAGTGTTTCCCTCTTACTATAATAAAAATAAAGGTCATATTATAACAGAATTATTAAAACCTTCAGCTTTATAGCTTCTACCGAGGAACTACCTGGCTTTCATCATGAGAAAGTCGCTTTCTTCTATCAACATAGACACAGACACTTTTGAGTACTCCTACCTGGGAGGACTAATTCCAAAGGGCTTCGGAAGGCCTTTGCAGTCTTCTCTCTTTTAAAACCATCAGTCTTAAATTAGTGGTTACCAGAAAAAAGGAGGTAAAAGGGATCATATGGTGAAGGGATGGAATTTCAGTGCTAAACTTACTGCAGTATATAATGATATCAATTAATAACCATGTACATCTGAACCTTACATAATGTTATAATGCAATGAAATGCCAATAAAATATTAAAAAAAATTAAAGTGCTGGTCTTAAAACCACATGAGGTCCTCTAGTGAATGTGGGAAATAATTAAGAAAAGTTCTCGAAGATCAGAGAGATGGACAAGAGGAATCTGGTGAGTGGTGGCACAGGCAAATGATGCATCTTGAAATAAAATCTTTGAGAAAGTAGGACCTCCCTGGTGGTGCAAGGGGTTAAGACACAACCTATGAAGCTATTCACAGCCACTGCAGCATGAGTTGGATCCCCGGCCAGGGAGCTACCTACATGGCATAGCAGACCTCTCCTGTCTCTTCTGCTGCTCCCCTCAGCAGTGTGTTTCAGTCAGTCCTCCTGTTCTGTTCCCCATTCTGTCTCTGGTGAATCCTCTCAACCCCTACACCTCATGCCTGTACCCTAGTTCTTGTATACATAAATAAATAAAGAAGTGAAGAGAGCACATGTGAGCCTCAGAACATCAGTCCCAGCTTGGTTGTGAGTCTAGGGGAGGGGAGTGTCTTCAGTGTGGAATCCTGTGTCTTCTGACCAGCAAGTTATTGCACAGTCCCTGGGGAAGAGGAAAATGACTCTCTAGATGTCTTAGAAATTTTTATCTCAGAAAACAGAAGACTTTATACTATTGAAGCTTGGTGCCTGCTCAAGTATGCTCTTAGGGGTTCTCAGAGCAGAGAGAGAGGTTAGTCCTGCTGTGTGTGTCCTCAAGAATAGAGCAGAGAGGCAATATGGTCACATAATCCAGCACACAGGAATGGCATTGGGATTCTGGTCAGTGTGCACTTGACCATGCTCCACTGAGTGGAGGACTGATGTCACTGTCCAGTTCCACTGTGGGGAATGCCCAATGTCAATGGGAAGCACATCTCAGTTTGGGGAGTATGAGAGCAAATTGATCTGTGTTAGGATATAAGCCAGCTCTAAGATCCTGAAACAACTATATTCAGTTTTTATTGGAATCACATAATATAGTGTCAATTACCCTTTTAATAGTGAGGGGGTATTTTAATTGAGTGCCCAGAGAATATTTCAGTGGCATGTTTTCCATCCTTAAAGATGACTCTGTAACACAGTGTTCTACCTCACAGGTTTTGTTTTCCTATGCAGCCATTCCCTGGGGTTGGCGATCTTGAAATGGCATAAGAAAATGTGTAGAGATTTCAGATTATAAAAGAGAGTTTTGGCTTATAGAAGGGGGGCTTATGAGAATGAAAGGGTAGGGCTATGTTCTATTTCCTGAATAACTACTTTTACCAATGCAGCTATAAATGTTTTCACAGTTTGTTAGAAAAGAACTGTAAGTTGAGTGATTAGTTCTTGTCACTGTGATTCTATGTGTCAACCACGTAATTTTAGACAATTCATTCAATAGAATTGGTGACTCTGTCTTGCTCTCTCCCCAGTGTCTTGGGAACATGTTTGTAAATGTTTAAGAAATGTTTGTTGAATGAATAAATGAATGAATTTAACTATCTGCCCTATTTCATAATTCATAAAATCTGGATAAAAATATTTATGAGTATTGAGCAAAACAAATGAGATAAATCATATGAAGCTGTTTTTAAAACTACAAAACACTTTATATTACAAATGTTGTTATGGATTCATAATAATTATGAATATATAGGTACTTAAGCACATATTTAATTTTGAGATTTTCTGTTCCTTATGTAAGTTTCTGGACTTAATGATGAGATAAAGTTCCCTACCAAGAATCAATTGTGAGAATAACACATCATTAATGCAATTCATTTTTCTGTAACAATAAAACTACATGTATGTAATCATTTAAAACATTATACTTTAATGATAATGTTTGATACATTTTTCCTTTGTAACAATGGAATTCTCGATGGTGACAATGGCAACCTAGTCCCTGGTTTAGAAATATGGGAATAATATTGCTTCCTTGTTGAGATGAGTTACATTTATATGTGAAATTCTTGCTCTTTCTCCATGATTCCCATCATCCTTAAGATCCTCTGGGCTACTTGTGCTATGGCTCAGATGCAGAGTCTCACATGGCCCTGGCTAAGCATGGTCCTCAGTCATACCACAGCAGTGCATGAGAGAAGGAAAGAATCAGGCATCTGGTCCCATTTACACAACCTAGAATAATATGGTATATGTGAAACTGAATAGCATGCCCTGGTGGTCTCTAGAGAATAGCTAAGGGTAGAAGCTCTTAAATTTGAGGTTTATTTAGCAAAGAGCAAAGAGAGTTTTGATGACAAAAGGGTAAATAGTAAGTGCTGAAGAGAAGCGTGGACAGTTTTCAAAATACCTTTAGTATTTTTTAGTCTTTATGATCACAATGGCAACATTTAGGAATGATGTCATCCTGGCTGGGATATGTAAAAGTCCTTCCAAAAGTGACTACAGTATATAAACTTTGAAACAAAGGAGCTAACGTGCTATTTACAGAGGTATAATAACAAAGTATGAAATTGTGTGAAAGTCTCCCATAGTCTGGTTCTGAGGGCCTCATTCTCTACCTTTGCCCTAATGTCTGAAGAATTCATCTTGAGGCCTCAGGAGCTTTTTTTTTTTTTTTTTTTTTTTTTGCATGCAGACATTTTCCATCTCTTCTTACCTGTTTTTGCTCTTCTCCTAAACCATCCCACATGGAAGCCACAATTTTAGAGACTTCACCAAAGGTAGCATTTGGATTTTGGCCCTTGATGGCAGCCTGAGTATCGCGAAAGAACAATGCGTAGGCAGACACAGGCTTCTGGGGCTCATTGGGGTCCTTCTTCTTCTTCTTTTTAGGGGTTTTGGGTTTTTTCCCCATGTCAGAGGCAGGTCGCTTCTCTCCACCATTGATCTGAAATAAAAAACAAATTAGAGTTATAAGGAACCTAAGAACATTCCGGGACAAATCATATTGTTGTTCTCAGATACACCGATATGTCCACATGATGTAAACATAGACATTCTTCAGTACCACTTGCTTCAGTTATTATTGTTTTTCAGATAAAACCACTCATTTGAAGTAGCTTTATATTCATCCTCCGTCCAGCTTAATTTACATAGCCTTACAATAGCACTGTTGATTGCTTATATTATATTATTAGACTATTAAAGAACATATCTTAGCTCTCCTAACTTTTCCCTTTTGACTTTCAGGGAAGCTGAGTGACAGCAGTATTATTCAACTGGGGTAGCAATGGCTACCTCTGTAGCAACCTGCTGTGGAACAATGTAACTTGTTTTCTTCTAGGTAGTTTATCGTTTTCTTCCTATTTATGATTTTAAAATCATAGTGGGCAACATGTCCATTAAATTAGCCGAATGATTTCTAATGTTGCAACAGATCTATGTAATGTTGCTAGGAAGACCTACCAATGTTCAGGGTTTAGAGAGAGGCACAGTCTAGACCCTAGATCAGTGCTGTCCAGTAGAACTTTCTGCAATGATGATACATTTCTACCCTCCACACTATTTTAGATAGCAGCCACTATGCACATGGAACCAATGGGACTTGAAATGCAGGTAGATGAATAAGGAATGAAATTTCAACTTTAATTTAATTTTCACTACTTTAAATTTAAATTACTACATGTAGCTAGTGGCTACCATGTTGGAGAGTACATTTCTTGAAACTTGATTCCATAATCCAGACTTTTCTAGAACAGTTTTACATTTGTTTTCACAATGAACCTTCCTTTCTTTCCATTATCCTCAAGTGTGAATATCTGGATAATTTAAATGATTATTTTGATGTAAGTTGGAAAAAATACACTGAATGTATTTAAGGCATCTGCATTTGAAGTACCTTTGATATAAATCAATTACATGTGATGTCACTTCATCTACCTCTATGAAATGATTTTGGTTAGGCCTTCTTTTTACCTCTAGAAATTATGTGAATCTATATGAATATCAAGAAGTTCTGTATATGAAGGAATATAGGATGCATCTGAGAGGTGGTCTTGTGAAATGGTTGGTTCTCATTGAAATTTGTCAGACATCTAGCACACTGGACTAAGTTGGTACTGCACAAACTGATCTAATAGTTATAAACTAAACATATAGACAAATATAACTTAGAACAGTTATTCTCCAATATGACTGCACATTTTATTCACCTGAAAAGCTTTTGAATAATACCCCTATGCCCAGGCCTGACTCTGTACGGATTAATTCATAATATTCAGGCACGGGAAGTCTGGCTTGCCTCAGTCATACTCTGAACCCGACTCTTCCAGCTGGCATTTAAATTCTCAGAGAGACAAAATTAACAAGCAAATTTTCTCTTTGCCCTGAGACTACACATGACCACATATTTCTTCTCTTCACAATCATCTCCTACAAGTGGTTGTCTGTGCTGGCACAGGCAGCCTTAGCAACTTCCTTCTGTGTACCTCCCCAGCACTTAGCTCTCAGTAAGCTCACCAGCACCACAGTGCTAGGTCCAATGGACTTTTGAGTCTTCCCTTTGCTTCTCATTATGAGCACTCTCTCTTCCACGGGCCTCGAGACATCACAATCTCTGGGCTTAATTTGTAACTTACTGTCATCCCAATCTTTAAAATCATTTTTAGTCTTGTCCTACCCCATCTCGCCATTAAATGGTAGTATTTCTGGGTTTTTTTTGAACCTATAAACCACCTTCTCTTGTAAATTTGTGCTTATGTCACCTCAGGGTTTCCATTACCATTTATGGGTGGATGATAATAAAATTCATGTTTCTGCTGAATTTAACAACAGCTATTTGAGGTCACTATTTGCAAGTCTTCAAGATATCTCAAACTTGAGTCAAGGCCCTGCTATTCACTCTTGAACTCTTGTATATTTTCCTTCATAGCACATATCAAACTTGTGATTATGCCACAATGTATGTAGTTAGATCTTCTCCCATCCCAAAATGATGGGGTCTCACTATGACAGCAGGTCTATGGGGTTAGTTCACTGTCACTTATCAGGGCTCCTGATACACACTAAGTGCTCAGTATTTACTATAATAGTAATTAAAAATAAACAATGATGCAATTTGAAATAAGTAATCAAAACACAAAAGATTTACCATGGATACAGTTATATAAATTATGCAACATCTTAAGTGTAATCTCTCCATGATATAAGTTGAGTTTATGATTTTCTTGTTTATATCTTTATAATTTCCATATTTTACAGACAGTATCATTCCTATCGATCAATATTTATTAAAAGAAAAACAAAAAGGGGTCAACAAAATTCACAATGAAGAATATTCAAAAGGATTGATCATCATATGAGAAGTTATATTTCCTCAAAGAATTGGTATATTCAGAAATAGCAAACAAGGTGTTGGGAAATGAAAACTTATCCACATGGAATATTATATAGACTCACTTTAAATTTTAATTAAACCTTTAAAATTTAATTAAAAATTAATTTAATTTAAAAATTCAAGTGACACTGAAATGGACATGATTGCATATTATATAATCCCTTGGGGAAATAATCAAGCATCAATCATAAAGAAAAATTTCCCATGATGCACTGTAAATGATCTTATTAAAAGATTTCCCCAAATTGTTTAAATTAGTTTCTCTCTTCCATTGCTCAATGATGCAGGTTTTAGAACTGCATCATTTAGAACTGCTGCACAGAAAGGAGTTACCCTCTTTTGTTTGACAACACGGTCCTACTTTTTTGACGTGACTGAGAAGCTGTTAACTGTCAGTAAGATTCTAAGTAACAGGTAGATCAAAGTCACAAATTACCACTTTGACTGCAATGAATAACAATGCTATCAGAAAGTAAGCTTGTCTATGCACTAATCTATTTGACTTGTTATCTGGAGGCTTTTGCTATTTTCCTGGCTTGTTCTGTAGCTTGTCTTTAACCAGATGCAGTTTTGCTCAATCTCAGAGTTTTGTTTAGAAGAAACAAGCACATCAACATTTTCAAGACTCAGGAGATAGCACTTATGCAGTATGAAGCATCACTCTGGGATTTCACTGCACATCTGATTGAGATTCTGAGAGGTACTAAGCTGTGGTCTGGGAGAGTATCCTCTCCCATGCCAGACCAGTTAGTCTCATAACATTACCCCGGTTTTGGGTTCTCCATGCCTGAAAGTAACAGCATCTTGAAATGCTTTCCTTTTCACAATAACCTCAGTGTGAATGTTCTGTCATGCAAGAAAGCAGGCACCTCAGAAAACCAATCTAAAGGACACACAAAAAGTATTCATATATCTGAATGGGTGTGATCCTGTACCTTGGAATCAAATACAGTGTTGTAAGCCAACACTACCTCCATAAAAAAGTGAAATTAAAAAATACCCACTGAATTGTGTACTTTAAAATGGTAAATTTTGTTATGTGAATTCCCTCTCAATAAAGAAAAAAAAAATCAGGGACTGTAGATAATAGTACCTACTTTTAAAATATAATTATCCAAATGTCTTTACATTTTTATTTATTTATTTATTCTTAAGATAAATTAAGGATGAGCTATTGCTTTTCCTTCAGTAATTAAACTAGGTCACTAAACTACATTTTTGGATCATAGCAATCTGAGCATAGATGTACCATCATTGAACTGAACTATGATTTAAGGTAACGCTGTGACTTTCACCAAAAACTGATATGAGAAAAGAACCCCCATTAGATTACTTTGAAGGAAACTGTTACTACTTCTGGTATAAATACTACTGGGTATGTACCATCTCCTTTGCCTTTAGGATGAAATATAATGGAATGAAAATGCCCTGTTGTGGTTGGAGGTCTAAAGTACCAAAGGGGCCAGGCGATGCAAGCAGTGTAAGGCTGTCCACCACACAGGCACTGGGCGCTCCTGATCCATGGAGCCTTGTTTATTTTTTCTTCTTCTTGTGTTTTGAAGCATACAAAAATACTGCTAATTTAGATTCTGTGTAGTGAGCTGGAAATTTGTAAGGCTTACTTTCTGGAAGTACTTTCATCACATATTTGAAAAACACATGGTCGTTGCTCATATGCAAAACCTTGAAGAAAAAAAATGTTGCTGTAATTTGGACCCTCTTACATGCCAGTAAAGGATTACATTTTGAAAGATTCCTGGCTGTTTTGACCACGACCTATTTAGAACGAGCACACTGATGATGAATATGATTGTGGTAGAAATATTGGCTAAATGGATTTGTAATATGTTCCTGGATCGTAATTTTGAATATTGTCTGGATCCTGAACTCTTACTTAGATGAAAGCTTATAACTTTATATCCTCATTTCCTAGAGGCCCTGATTTCTAAAGTGTAAAGCAGCACTGTCTCATAGAACTTTCTGGAATGATGGAAACATTCTATGAGCTGTCAGAAAAGGTAGCCACTAGCCTCATGCGGCTATTGAGCACATTTTGCTAGCACAACTGAAAAACTGAATTTTTTGTTACATATTTTATTTTAATTAGTTAAATTTAAACATGAACCATCATTCATGAGCAGTGGCTACTGTATAGGACAGTATAGCATTGTGCACTGAGCATTCTTCCAGAGTGTAGTAATGCAAAAATACCTAGGATTGTGAGACTGAAGAAGTAAATTGAATTCCAACATCATAAAATGTAGACTAGAGAAGACATATAAGGCAAAAATATAAACTCCCCATTAAAACAATTGCATTGAAAGTAAGGACCATCTTCATGACAAAAGTATGATCTTACATGCATTTATTTCCATTCCTGTTTCCAAAGGATTGCACAGAGGCTTAGGATTACCAGGCAAGGAAAATCTGAAATATGTTAAGTGTTCTGTGAAAATCGTAGAACTAAGATCTTGACCAGTTTAAGTTCCCCACTGGTAATCACAGACTTATTTCACATTCAAAGTACCAATGAATAAATAAATAAATACAAA